TGATGTGGTGGAAGAGCTGGACAGACTCAGGGACTGCAGGGACCTTCTCTCACAGCTGCAATGAACACTCACAGACACATACAATAACAGCAAAACAGAACTCATTGTACATAAATACACTACTATATACATTTTATCTAAACATTTGCAGTAAAATGTATTTAAAATGTCACATTTATCCAAATAAATTCTGGAAAACATACATTACAAAGATGTTACATAAAAAAGCAGCAATACGCCACTACACTATACACAATTATGTCTCTTTTATCAGTACTGACACGTAATGAAATATCAGTTGAGCCATGTCAGGACATATTTATCTTATGTACAATACAAAATGTACAAAATTATTTTATTGTATTATTCTATTTCTATATTATTTTGTTTTATTAGAAAATAAATATAAGTTGTATAATGTGATCTAGTTACATTGCAAAGGGAAAATGAAGGAATATTTATCTACTGATCTAAATATGTTCAAATATCAACATTTTACATATAGATATGAGTAGTGCAAAGTACTGTACTGTGTTTTTCGTGCCGATGTAAATGCTTGATGCAGAAAATGTCACAAATTTTGTGTGTATTTTGGTTTTAATAAAACTACTCAAAAACAAACTGTGAGTGTGTAAGTGAGTGTGTGTAAAAATAAAGCAGCACAAAGTGTAAGAGCTGCTGAGCTGCAGATGCTGTATTTGTATGCAACTTAGTGCCTAATAAGGTCACCAAGTACAGCACATTAGTCTGTCATTAGGTTCATCAGTGCCAGTTAATCATTTAAACCAGGTGTCTGTCTGGGGTCTAGTTTTCATGAGAAAGGACAAACATTATTGCGTCCTTCAACTGAAAGAAGCAGGAAATTTGAGTACAAAAAAGTTGCACCAGTAAAAGGAGCTTTTTTTTACCCCAACGGTAGTGCTAACAAAACTGAGCAGCCAAGTTTTAAATGTGGAGCAGTGATGGGGAAAAATAGCTGTTTTTCTCATTCCAATATGTAGTCCTTAAGTTAATGTGTGGCAACAAGTGCAAAGGAGGAAGTGGACGCCTGAATTGCACCTGCCCATTTCAGTCCAGCATGGGGCAGAAAGAAAACAAACACGTCTTAGCCCTGTCTGGGCAGGCCTATGTGTGTGGAATCCAAAAAGAAGTGCTGTGCAAAGTGTTAATAAAAGTTAATTAAGTACTAAAGAAGAAGGAAATGAGTCTATTATTAAGTCAAACAAGTTGTGGGTCTTTCCAAATATAAACAGGCAAAGTCTAACAGCAGCCACACAACTGGAGGTTCAGAGGAAAACAATGACAATCTAGGGAAGTAACTGAAATAATTAATAATTAATCTTAGTCTCATTTTATAGAGAGAATGTTGTGCAATATTTTATGCACTTTTCTCTGTAATTCAACCTGATAGCTTCACTATTCTATGGAAATCTTTGGGATGTATAAAACTTTAAGTACAGTTCTGCGACACAACGTTTTGAAATAAAAAACACACAATTTAATTGTTGTTAGAGCTACACATCTACAGATGAAACTATAAACTTTTAAGTGAACATTAACAACTATTGTGCTTTGTTGGAAAAGCTTGGGATTGGGTAAAGCAGGAATTGATCGGCTCTATCCACAGGTTTTAGACAAACAAAAAAGGTCAACACAATGTTCTCAGTTCTCAGCTCTCACAGACCTGGTATCAGTTAAATGAACAAAGGCAAATGTGTATGGTTCTTCTTAAAGCGAAACATTTTGGCCCAAGTTCCCTCAACAGCTGATAGTTCAAAGGTATATGTATTTTTAGAGGTTTAAAAATTAGGAACAAATTTTCTTTAGAGCGTACTCAGCTGCAATGATCATTTATTTATAATGGAACTAGATGAATACAGATCACCAATGGAGGAAATGACATCAATTATAAGTGTCATCTGAACACACTGTCTAAGTTATGGGTGAGGGGTGGTAGCTTCTGGGGCTCCACATTTTTTTCTTAGAAGCCCTGAATCTTTTGAGTTTTTTTAAATAACTTAAACTTTACTGTCTCATTACCCCTCTGTCTCTCATACTAGAAAAAAGAAGCAAACGTTCTGTTACTAGGCACATATCACCATATATGGGTCCACTCTGTTGTCACGGGGGCTTGTTGTCATGTGTGTACAAGCTTTCTTGCTAACTATTTTTTGGACTCTAACAAAGTTTTTAATGAGGAGTCAACCTCAGCTATTTTTGTCTCTTTTTAGGTGGCAAAAGTGACAATTAATCAACATTTGTTGTGTTATGTTTTCAGAACGATGAAGGCAGTTGGAGAACAATTTGTTAAGAAAAATAGGATGTAGGCTCCACAGGATGGTTTACAGATTTTTAGGCAATATATTATCTCAAATGTCATGAAAAACGGTGCACACAGCTACCGTAAATGAAAGAAAAGCACATAAATTTAAAGTTATTGCTTTGGTTGACATTTCCTTATGTGGTAAATACTAAAGCAACAAAGGCAAAGTCACAAGTATAAAAAGAATAACACTGTCATCGATACCACTTTGACTAATGACTAAATGATTTGGCATTTTAGGAGAAGGAACTGTTGTCACTGTACAGCAGTAAAATAAGAATATCTCCTGTGACTACAGCAATAAGGAAATATTGGTACTGTGAAACACTACAAATAAGCAATAAATAACTGCAGGGACTTTCTGAGTAGCCAGACAATGGGAAAAAGTTTAAATGGAATCATTTTGAGGATCGTTATCTATACCAATTGTATGTTCCAATACTGGGAACGTTTTCTTTTGGACACTCCCTGCATTGCAGTGATTTATACTATAGGAAACATTTCCATTGTAAATACAAGAATTTGTCAAACCACAATCGGGATGAATTACAGGTGAACAGTTTATATTCTCTCTTCCTACAGCAAACAAGACCATGTGATAGTAGTAAAACCTCTGATGCAACTGTGCCTCATCTCTACCCTTACACTAACTGACAGATGGAATTTCCATACAACAATAAGCCTCAGTGTTGAGGTTCACCATCAGGAAATGGAGAAACAATGGCCGCTCTTCCTCTATTGATAATCCACCTCTCACAGCTATAAATATCCCCTTGTCATAACCAGAAAATGTTTGTATTCTGACAGACTCAAAAGCAAGGTATGGCCTTCAACAACAATAAGGATGAATCACAGGTGTTCAGTTTTGAGATTCTCTCCACCCACAAGCAAACAAGACCACACAATAGTATCATCTGCATCTTGTTAACATGTTAAAAATATAATATAATCGGGCCAGAAGGAGGGGAATGGAGGGACCTCTGACCCGGCAGTTTGAGATTCCTGGTCTAGATTTCAACGGCTATAGTATAGCTGTGACATAGATGGAGTTTCCATACAACAATGGCAGGACAGGTTGCGTTTGATGGGTGCCAGTAAGCCCCAGTGTTAAGGTTTACAGTCAATAACTGGAGAAATTATGCTCTCTTTCCTCTATTGATAATCCACCTTACTCTCAATCTTCTCACAGCTAAAACATCCTCTTGTTATAACCAGGAAACCTTTGGCACACACTCAAAAACAAGGAAGGGACTTCAACCAAAACAAGGTTCGGTTATGCGATTCTCTCCACTCACAAGCAAACAAGACCACACAATAGTAGTGCAACCTCAGACGTATAGTCTAAACCACTGAGAGAGAGAGCTACTGCAACGTTCAAGTACTACAAGAAAATGCAACATTCTGATATTTACATTACTAGCATTGAATTTCTTTTTAATGCAAACAACAGTTTCTATACATTTTTTATATATCATCATATATATCATATCTGTTGTCCGCAGCCAAAGAACAAACAGTCATAGGCACCTTTGACCTTTGCCAAAAAACCAACAACGTTTTAAAGCAGAATTGTGTTTATAGTTGATCAAATTGACATGAAACAACTAATAAAAAAATAATAATAATAATCTTGCCGGTCAGATTAGATTATATATATAATATATTTGGGCCAGAGGGAGGGGAATGTTCCCCGAGCCAGCATTCCTGGATTCCTGGTCTAGATTTCAACAGCTATACTATAGCTGTGACGATAGATGGATTTTCCATACAACAATGGCAACAGGTTGCATTTGATGGGTGCCAGTAAGCCCCAGTGTTAAGGTTTACAGTCAGTAACTGGAGAAATGACGCTCTCTTTCTTCTATAACCCACCTTACTCTTTACATACAATCGCAGAGAAAATGTATGTGCTGAATTAATAGAGGACAGTGAAACATATCTCTTAGCTCTTTTGTGCGTCTTATTTCAGGAAAAGTAACGAATATGGGGAATTGGGAGCTGAGGGTGTGGATACTCCATACTGAAGAAACACCATTGGGGAGCTGGTTATTTAAAAAATGCCCTTATTGACCTCATATTTGGTCTAGCTTATTTTGTCTCTGTAAGGTTTTTGCACTGGGTGTGATGTCTGCCAGCACCCAGAAGTTTTAAGAAACATTAAATACTAGAAATAGAGAACACAGAGGCCAGAATTTGCATATTTACACAAAGACAAGCTCAATAATCCCATTCAGCTCATACAGTGATTATAACTGAAAAATTCTTCCTGGAAACTCTCCAGTTTACTTGATTTAATGCTAACACATGCAAACTCCTCCACAAGCATAACTATGCATCGTTTCTCTCTCAACATATATATATATATATATATATTATACCATGACAAACTCTCTCAACATATATATATATATATATATATATATATATATATATATTAATTTATTCTAGATATTCAGTGAGTACTGTATATGAGGTAAATAAGTGAAAAAGGGAGTCTCTTGCTTATTCCAAGTCTTATCTGAGCCTCTAGTTTGAGTGCTGTACAGTAAGTAGTATAAATCAAAATAAAAATTATTAACTTTATAATATATGAAGACATAATGACAAAGGTTATTATATTATAAAGAGCTGTTTACTTTATGTCAAAAAACAGAAATAAGAGAGTCTTTAGTAGAGGTAAGAACCTTTTTATTTTCCACTGAAAAAACACTGATTCAGTTTTTCTTCACACAGTAAAAACATTGTTCAAAAGTACCCATTTGGTCATATAGCTCTTTAGCCTTTTCTACGCATAATTAAAACAGCAGCCTCTGGTCTGCAGTACTACACAGGTCTCTGCACGGCTAACTGATGTTCTCCACCCTAGTCTGAAAGGAGGGCCTGTGTTGTTTGAATTACAGTAATTTTGGTCTCAATCTTCATAGCTAATTGCGCAAAGCGGGTCCAACAGACAGAGCTAGTGCAGTGATCGGATGCTTTTACGTGCGCAAACAAGGTCAAAGATGTCTCAAGAAGATCCCTCTGCTGACTGGTTGTAGTTGGACACTTCGATGAGATTGTGGTCTGGATCTCTGAAGTAAAGAGAGGTGATGGCCCCCACAGCTCCAGTCCTCTCCACTGGACCCTCCTCTATCTCGACTCCACAGACCTGCAGACGAGACAACAGAAACTGAGCGCTTCAGTGGCGACTTAATGCCAAAAGGGTAACAAAATGTGAATAGAGGTCACTTTACAAGATTAAGATTGACATCAGTAATTCAAGAAAGACAAAAGACCTTCAGATGTTCAGCTACTGTGGCCAGAGGGGTTTTGGTGATGAGGCACAAGTCTGCAGAGCCTGACATTGGATGCTTGGCTTTGGGATCAAACTCCTGGCCCAGCTGGTGAAGGTTAAACTTCTGCTGCCCGAATCCCAGAGCCTTACGGTTTCCCTTGAAAATGCAGAGATGGCATGTGTGGGTGTTGAGATTTGTCTGAAAGCTCAAGGTCTGTCATGAGTGACTGAGTGGAGAGCAGCGCTATTAGCTGACACACAATCAAAGCCTGCCATCTAGTGGATGGTTTATCAAACCAAAAGAACAAGAGTATTTTACTTTTCCTGATCCCGTGTAAATAATCACAATACTACAACTAATAATAACACATTTTCATACCTTGAAAGTGATGACTTCCATGCCAAGGACTGAAGTATAAAAGTTGACTGTGTCTGGCACACTTTTCACTGTTAGAACCAAATGATCCAAATGGCTCACTTCAATTGGACAGGTTGTTTTGAATCTGACAACTCCAAGTGTTTGGATAGAGACAGTCTATAAGTGATAGAACAAATACATTTTAGGGATAGAAAAACAACAACAATACTATATAATACAATACAGCACTGCTTAGGGTGACCAGATTGCAACAAACCAAATGTGGGACAAAGAGTATGTTTGTGTGGGACATATAGGACATGTCACCGAGGGCATAATCACATTATAGACATTATAGGGGTCCAAATAAGAGCCGTCCAACAGAATATGTTTAATGCATTTCTATATTAAGTATATTAAGTCAACATAAAAATTGAAAATTTAATTTAATTGAATTAACATTTATTTACTGAGACAGTGGCGGTACCTACACTTAATTTTATTTTGGTCAGTTGCTTACTGTTTACTCACTTTAAACACACCTACCAATTAGATTTATACATTTTGCTGTAGTGATAAATAATATCCAGTGGGGGGGAAATTAAATACCCAAAGCATGGAAATATTGTGATTAAAACGTCAAATAATGCTGTACTTGAAGAAATGACAGATTATGCCTTTATCAAAAACAATGGACTGTAAATTAATCTGATTTATTTTCAAAATAAAAGTCTGTGCATTTACTGAATCGTGAATATCAACGTAAAATCTTGGATTTGAATTATAACTACACAAGTATGTATGTCTGTGTTGGGATAAAAAATGCTGTGCAGAGAGCCGCCTGGTCACAGTAGCGCCGCGGAGTGGCCAAACTGTGCTGCATCCTGTAAACATAATGTGAAAGGTGGACTTCTACTGTAGTTATGCCGAACAGCAAAAAACACGTTGATGTAGCCTAGCAACGATAACTAACATATCTAACGTTGAGACAGATCGTCGAGTGTAGCGTTAACGTTAATTATCATATGAGCCCATTTTACAAGTCGGTAGTTCAGATGGCATAGTTCGTTTGTCTAATGGGAAGTCTAAACTGTCGCTACATTGGACAATTTCGGTCCTTAAGAAAAAAAAAGTACTGTTAGCGACTATAAAGGGTATATGTAGCGCTCACTTTAGATAACGACACTGCCATTACCTTCAAACAGTCCCTCTGGACGTGCCACAAACGTCTCCCAACTGCCCGAAGCGCCATCCTCGTCGTAGTCTGAAAGCAGTACTTCCTTGTTTTTCCACCTCTGTGAACTGTGAACTATTAGCTGCAATACAACATTGTCCATAGCACTGAATAACAGCCTGTGTCTGTACCTGGTGCTGCAGTAATAACCTTAAACACACTCCTTCACGGTCCATTAGCTGTAGGATTAAGTAGTGGTTACTCTTGTTTAAGACCATGTCAATACTTGCTATTCTAGTAAAAGGTCACCTTCATGAAGGCATTTGTTATTTATCAGACAGTATGAAATTCATGGGGATTTTCATCCATATTAACCAGTGGAGGTGCTAGTAATGACACTTCTTCCCCAAGTGCAAGTTCAATGGCAAATGATTACACATATTTTGTATAATGTGATACAGGTGTGATCTTTAACACTGGTAGGATAGGAACACATCCTCTACTTCACACCCTAAATCACGCTCATAATTTAAAAGACTGTGTAATACATGACATTTAAAAACATCTCAATGAACAGTCAGATCAAAGCAACAACATGGAAATAAAAGTATATTTGTAATGTTTAATATATAAGGTATAAGTGATAACTAATGTGTGCACCTGAATGCAGAATAGGAGTACCCAAAAGCACAGGGACTGTACAGAATGCATACCTGCAATGCATTTTGAAGCATAACAACTTGTTTAATTCAGCGGTTAGTTTCATTAAACACCCAGTTAACATACTGCACTGGGTGGGTCACAGAACAAGGCCAAAACTAAAGCATGGCCTAAGAGAGGGGAACATACATTTCATTTACATGTTTATGGTATTTAACAATGACAACGTCTTGCATTCAAACCTTTATGTCCCACAAAGGGAAGTAATAATTGTGGCAAAGACATCAAAAAGTGAAACAAGACACATGACAGGATGGCATTGGTAGTGATGCCCTTTTTCTTCCTTTGCCAGTGTTTTTGTTCATCAACAGTGCTATTAAAACCTACAGAACTTCTAAATAAAATAAAATGAACTTCAACACATTTTTAAAAGGTAATAAGTCTTCATTTAAGATTTTAGCCATTAACAAGTTTTTTTTTTTAACAACAGCATACATTTATATCATGGTTTGTATTTCCCTACTTTCACTTTAGCATGTATTGCACACTGATATGGAGCATCTGCTCATGAGGCAGCAGGGTACAGAGGGCGAGTATCTTGACTTTCTACTGGAGCCTTAGCAAGACAGAAGGACAATGATGTGAATTTTTTCTCAGACTTTGTAAATGTCTGACACCCAAACCTTTGGATTAATAACTTAAGTTGCCACTTGTACATTGAGGTGTACCTACAGGTAAAGAGATCTTTAGAAGACAAGCCTACATTTCATTTTAGGTCAATTTCCGGTCTTTTCATTCTATGCAATACTAGCTTATAGAACGTAATTCATTAGTCAGTAATTAAAGACAACCCAATGAGTTTGTGGAAAAATAAAGAATAAGACCAGTAAGCTAATGGATGACAGGACAAAGTAATTGTGAAATAATTGTTGTACATTAAAACGTAAATGACCTTTTACATATGGGGAAAAAAAACAAATGCAACTATATTCAACTTTTTTTGACATGTCATGCCTGTTAGTATAGTATTTTTGAGGTGGGAAAATTCACATGCTAAGTACTTGATATCAACCCAATATCTACTACCAATATTGAGACATCCCTAATTTCTGGTCACTCAATCATTTTTAATGGTCAAGAAAATAAAGATGCTTTATGATTCCAAAATAAACTTAACCTTGTTGGATTTATCTTTCCCTTATACCTGTACAACATTCTGTTTTTTAACACAATTTAGCACACACAGAATCTTCATGGTATATGCCACTTCAAAACAGTTTCTTTCAGGTGAACATAAAGGGAGAGTTCAAGTCACACTGGAAATGGAAAACCAATTAATGTCCTACATCCTTTGGACACCACAATCTAGCAATAACTCTGCTGTGTACACCCACACAACCTATTTAGGGATGCTCTGATAGAGTAATTGTGGCCAACACCACTCTAATCTTCATATGAGATAATTTACAATCCAAAACCAATTCACTGATACAAAGTATGATTCAAAATTATTTTTACAAGCTTATTTACAACTAATACTTTGAACTGGTTTAACTAAGATCTGTCCCAATACCCACCTTCTGGTACATAAGGCGCCATATAGGAGCTAATACAAAAGAGCACATGTGCCTGAACTACCTGCAGGTGTGCAGCATTTATAACCAGGGGATTCTTTATGAGATAGAGGTCTGCTTGTGAGCAAGGCTTGATGCAATGCAAAAAACTGCTTGGTCACAACAGGTTGATTCAAACAGCATGCATTGCTTGTGCCTAGCTTTGGACTGCAATAATGTCTTACTGAAGATTGATTATGTCCCAATGTCACCGTATGGAGCACCCCAAATCAAACCTGTGACTGCAATATGATCAAACTCACAAATGGTATGAAGATGAACAGTGGAGACACACTTTCCTCAAAGCCTCTTTTGGACTTGGACTGGGATATTAGATTACTTAGGTTGAGACAAAAGACCTGCATTTTTTTTTAATGAGCTAAACCACACTCTCTCGGTTGGCCGATACCAAGACAGCCCTGCGGCAGATGGGGCAAGTGGAGTTCTCAGACAGCCAGCGATCGATGCAGTGCACATGGTATTCATGAGAACAGGGCAGCTTACGTAGCTTGTTACCTTCTGCATACTCTGTTATGCAGACACTGCAAGTCTTCAAGGCATCACTCTCACCAAAGTTGCGCATGGAAAGGTTATCAATCTGCTCTTTGGTCAGCCCTTGGGGCTGGTCCTCGTCATCATCATTTAGGAGGAAGAAGTGGGCAAGCCGCAGGAAGGGCAGTGAGCTAGGCTCCTCAAGGCTAATAGATGGTCTAGGCCGAGCCCTGCCACCAGAGGCAGGTGGACCAGTGGTGAGGCCCTCATCCACATCAGTCTCAGCTGTCCTTGCTCTGACTCCAGCTGCCACAGGTGGTTCATCAACATCAGCAGTAGGAGCAGCAGCAGCAGGAGTAGTATCTGGGTTGTTGAGGGTTTCAGCTAGATCCCCAGGTGTGTTGGCTCCACGGGTTGAATCTGACGAATCAGAGTCTGAATCCATGAGGTAGCCGAGTTCACCAAAACCAGTCATAATCTGCCGAATCATAGATTGGAGAGCCATTGAAGTTGCTTCTCCCAAACCTGCATCAGAGATTCTACGGATAGGGATGCGGATTGTGCTGACGTAGGTCCTCACACCAGCACGCTCAGAGCGTGAGAAAGTCCTACGAAATCCACCACGCTCACTCTCATAAAGAAATGTGTTGTTGGAGTTCTGGGAGCGCGAGCGGGTACGACTAGCAATGCTGTCTCTTTGGCGATATTCGCCTGGACGCACACGACGCACCTGTAGATCTAGCATAATAGTAGGGGGACGGCGCCCTGCTGCACCCCCTTCCCCCCCAGCAGCTTCTCCTTCCTGAGATGCGATGTTTTGGGCCTCTGGGACCGGTTCTGCGCCAGCCCTAGATGGTTGAACGTCACTGTCAGCAGTGCTTTGCCTGGAAAGAACGTGTTGTCGAGTCCGTGAACTGCCCTCCACTTGAGGCACAGGGAGGACATTCGTGGCAGAGTGGGGGCCTTGAGAGCTGTGAGCATGACGTGGATTAGGAAGACCATCCAGCTGATCCAAGTTGAGAGGGGAGCGGCTCCTGGCTGTACGGGCCCTAGTCCTGCGTGGTTCTGGACTGCGGCTGCGAGCTCTTCTTTGCCCTCTGCGTGGAGAAGGAGAAAGCGGGGGTTGCACCGGCAGGGCAGCAGGTGAGCTGGGAGGTTCTTCTAAAATCTCCTGTGAAACAACCTCTTCTAGTTCAGGCTCTGGTTCCACTATGACAGCCAACTCTTCTACAACTGGCTCTTCTACCACCTCTGTTTCCATGGGGACCGGTGGTTCAGCATTTTCCCCCATTTCTTGACTCTCTGAAGCCTCCTCTGGACCCTCGTCTGGAGCCTCTTCTAGGGCCACCTCTGGAGCCTGTTGTAGAGCCTCCACTGGAGCTTCGACTGGAGCCGCGTTTGAAACCTCTTGTGGAGCCTCTGCTGGAGCTTCTGCTGGAGCTTCTGCTGGAGCTTCTGCTGGAGCTTCTGCTGGAGCT